TTTTTGGTCGAATTTTGAAGACTGATTTTTGTTTTTAAAAAGGGAAAAATTGTTGAATTTATATCGGAGACAACGGCAAAATAAAGTTTTTAAGATGCTGTGAACGGATTATGGGCACCTTCCCAGCAAAAGTAGGTTGTCGAGTAATTTATATGAATAACGAAATGTTCATATAAATTCGCCAAATAAGTTTCTTTTGATTGACACGCCGAAATGAAGCCGGTGTCTTTTTTTTTTCTTCGCCCTTTCAAAATTCGAGTAAAAGGACAGATTGAAAATATTGGTTGATTTAAAAAAAAAGTACTGCACGTAATGTGCTTCGAATTAAGCTACACGTACCAGGTCAACCTTGGTCCCAGGGTCAGGAAGTGGGGCCAGTTGCTTGTGCAGCACCCTGAGGAGGCCCGGGGTGAGTCTGGCTTTGGAGACCGGATGTCCGGGCAGTTCCATGCGGTCCTTGACCGGAAGGAACTCACCGGCCAGCAGACAATCGAAGTAGCCCTTGGCCCAAATGTTCAGGTCTGCAGGCTCCCAGGACTACCGACGGAACCACTTCCTAAAGTCGTCCAGTCCATCCAGACTACCCTACACTGGGCTGGCGTCTGAGCAAAGGTAGCGCAATAGTCACAGTGATTAACAAGGACGTCAACGAAAGGAATTATTGGGGGACCCGGCCACTGATGGCATTTCTTTTTCGCACTGCTGCTGCTGCTGATCGCGACGCTGATTTTCTTGAGACGGAGAGAGAAAAAGAATCACCGGAAATCAGTTGCTGATGGGTTTCAATCCAGACTATGAATACTTGCAGTATTTGCACTCACAGTTTTTTTTAGCGTAAAGTTTTTGATGTACAAAAAAAGCAGTAAAGCGAGGATGCTATTGGGTGAATGAACTTTGGAAATATGAATATTTTGAGGAGCTATGAATATTTAATCCTTGGGCAGCGCTGCCAGGATTTATTTACTGTACACAATATTGTGCCACTGTTAAAAGAAAAAAATACCCAGAAGAATGATCTCAAGTGCCAAAGTTGGGAAAATCACAATTTTCTTTTCTTTTCTGCAGATATATTTTTCTGGAAAAAAAAACATTTACTGCTAGCTGGTGACATTTTTTTCTGAATTCCATCCGTAGGAATAGCATAAGGGATTTTGAAGACAATGGTTTTTGCTCTTTGGGATTTTTCCTAACTTTGGCTACTTATTAGCCAAAGCTGACTTTTGATGACCTTTGGTCAAACCAAAACGCGCAATTGTGCAAGAACTTCCTGGCACTGTCACGCAATGGACATTGACCTGCCACTGCCCATCATGCAGGGGTTAATTTTGATGAATTGCTCAAGACAATGTAAACAATGGCCAAAAAATTCTAAAATCATGCTAAGAAGCACAAGTATTTGCCACAATAAAAGAGCAAATAGGTAGAGGAAATATTTTTTTCATTTTAAGACTATATATACAAGTGGGACATTTCCCTTTGATGTCCCACAATATATTGGTCAGTTCTGCAATTTGATGATCAAATTTGCTGGGAGGTTGACTTGCAATTTGACCTCTGCCCTATAGCTGCAACTTGACCAACAGAGAGACACAAAACATTAAATTTGATGTAGAAAATGTTGCATTTGACATTGTCTTGCAATTTGACTGCTTCAGAATTTTACCAATGGATTAGGGTCACATTATGTGGTTTACCACCTGTACAGAGCTTTTGGATGGTTCAAAAGAAAACGGGTGGATTATTGTCTATGAAAAAAGAGATGTGAAGAAAAAAATGCCTTGAGATCTGCTGGAAAAGAATCTTTGCCTCTCCATTATCTTTTGAATAGCCCCTTTTATTTTTCCATGCGCCAAATACAGCAGGTACTTGAACAATATTGTTTGGAGTCATGCAGCCTTTCTTTCACAATGAAAAATAGTTTTTTTTCTGAAAATTTTAAAATTATTAGAGCATTCAACTTTTTATTTTCTCGGTGATTTAAGAAAAACTCAATTTCTTTTTTATTAAACTGCTTCTCACTTCAATATAAATTTTGATTCGGTTCCTTAATAACGAAATAAAATCTGCTTCGAATAGAGTATTAATTTAAGGCTTCCTGACTTCTTCCAAATTCAGAATCGTTTCTGCACACTATTCAAGTTGATGGAAATTCCCACTTTTGACGTGAAAATTGTAAAATCAAAGCACACAACAATTTTTTGTTTGTTTCTGAGACCTTCTATATTAAAGCCAAAGGTCTTTATTATTTTGTTCTTGGGATGGCTACCTTCTATCAAGATTCAAAACATTGACGTAGAACTGTTTCACTGTGTTCATAACTTTGAAAATCATGACCAACAACGAAAATTTACAGATGGAAATTCGAGAATGGAGGGGGTTGCGACTTGCGAGTGAGGAACACCAGAAACCCGGACCGCGTCGCTATGGTAACTGGGGTTTCTGGGCCCCATCCCACCCGTTTTTGTTGGATCAAACCCTGGAACCAGTTCCCATGACGACAGGTTTGGCTTCGCAAACCTTCCTTCATTTTTCGATATTGTTTCACTCGTACATTTTCGGAACATTAAATTTGAACTGCCATTAAATCGAATTGAGCATTCTTTTCATCTGGATTGCGGACGGATTTTTCTTGCGCATCTCAGCCAGAAAATGCTGGGATATTTTTTGTCAAATTACCTTTGCAACTCTCCTCGATTTAGTAAAATAACGGTTATTAAAAGAAATAGAATCATTTGGAGGAATTGGAAATTAAGTGTTGTCACTTTGATTAATTCACTGCTTGCATCACGGGCAACACCAGAACTTCGAAAAACACCAGCACGAAAAAAAAAAAAAACCTGCCAAAGATNGACTCACCCCGGGCCTCCTCAGGGTGCTGCACAAGCAACTGGCCCCACTTCCTGACCCTGGGACCAAGGTTGACCTGGTACGTGTAGCTTAATTCGAAGCACATTACGTGCAGTACTTTTTTTTTAAATCAACCAATATTTTCAATCTGTCCTTTTACTCGAATTTTGAAAGGGCGAAGAAAAAAAAAAGACACCGGCTTCATTTCGGCGTGTCAATCAAAAGAAACTTATTTGGCGAATTTATATGAACATTTCGTTATTCATATAAATTACTCGACAACCTACTTTTGCTGGGAAGGTGCCCATAATCCGTTCACAGCATCTTAAAAACTTTATTTTGCCGTTGTCTCCGATATAAATTCAACAATTTTTCCCTTTTTAAAAACAAAAATCAGTCTTCAAAATTCGACCAAAAAAGGTTTTTCCAATAAAATTGGGTAGGTTTGAAATGAATTTTACTGAAGGTGTTTGCCAGGGTTCAACTCCAAAATTTAAATCGAATAGGAAACAGAGAAATAATAGACCCAAGTCAATCGAGAACAATATTTTTTTGCCTGCATTATTTTTTGTTTTCGAAAAATAATTTGTACTTGCTGCAGAAACTCGCTCAATCCATGGTAGGATGCATTAATAATAATTTGGCTATCCACAAAATTTAAAGGTTGCATAATATTGAGAAAAAAATCGTTGTGATTTCAGCATTTTCAATAATTCGAACTATACGATCATGTGAGAATGAAGGTTGATTTCTAGGATTTATCATTCCTATAAATGCATTTCTGCAAATCTATATTTCATAATTTTTTATTTGAATATTTCTCACTCCTGTCGAAATGGGAAGATGACAAAGGGCTAATATTGTGAGAAATGAGGATATATGGAAATTTACACAAAATAATTGTCTCCAAATAACTATTGCAGATTTTAAACTGCATTAAAAACATTCCAGATGCCAGAGACATCTGAGTGCTGATGCAGTTACCCAGCCTCCAAGGAAATTTAATTTTAAAAGTGCAAAACTACTTTATGGCTGCAGAAAATAAGAGAAACTGGAGCATCCTCACTCCTTAGATATTAAAAGAGGACTTCTATTATTGTCTCCAAGCACAGGTTTCATGAAGACAACAATTACTTACACACAATCAGCAAATACAATCTCGCATTGTGCAATAAAAACTCACTTTCGAAAATAAATAAAATCAGCAAGGAAAAGATGCTTTGCCTATGTCACCATTCCCGACGCATGAACTTACGAAGCAAATAACTCCGCGAATTTTACAGTTACAAACATTCTCAACATCTTAAATTAGAGCTAAAGATGTTCTCCAATGTTTCTTATATCATGTAAAAATTGACATGATTGACAGATCTCAAGATATTCTCACTTTTCTAAACCTAACTTTTCTTCGGTGATAAGAATCTGGAAAACCTTCATGCCAGATTCTTATCTCACTGATGCACAATAAGCTTTTCGTGCAAACATTGAATTCACAAGCCTTGCTTCTAAATTTACATGCATGAATTTCTTTCTGCAACAAATGACAATATTTATATTCAAAAGAATGGCTATTTGAAACACATTATTCCAATCAGTATAACTGGCAGAATTTCTGAACTATTCAGCACCTTGTATTGTAGGTGGGATACAGTGTTCAATTTATCGAAAAGGTTCATATTAAAAAAAATAAAAGTCACGAGGTTTAAAACATTTTCCCACATTCCCCTCCTACATATCCATTCAACACAATCTGGACTATCAAAAATAACTGACTATGAAGATGAGACAGGATTACAAGAAAATGCATCACTGAATTGCCTTTTCCACAATAGTGAAAAAAATCACAGCACAATGTACTGAGGTACATGAGGTACACCATGTCCCTCAAAAAGTTTCTTTTAATGGAGTTGGCAAGTTTGTTGTAACAATATTATTTTTTTTAATTTACCCTACAAGATTCATGTTGGGACTTGGAAAAAAATTTGTTATCCTAAAAAATGTGTTGCAACAGCAGTAGTGTTTGTTGTAGCAATATTTTACTGTACTGTATATATGCACAGAAACTGCTGAGGCAGAGGTGGTGCCATCTGTGCCTCAAGGACGATGGCCTAGAGGAAGTCCTGACAGTCGTGGGCAAGCCCAAGAAGAAAGTCAACTGGCTCAAGTTCTTGGGCCTCGCAGCTGGGACCATGAGCGAGAGCATGGAGCACACTTTCCGCATCCTCTGCCTGGTCATGTCCCAAGTGCCCGGCAAGGACTCCATCCCAGTGGACGTCTTCAACGCCGTCTACGAATTCATGGCCCAGCTGGACGAGGTGGACCCCGGGCACGTGTCCAGTGTCGTGTCCGAAATGGCCACCAAGGCCAATCGCCAGAACGGGAAGCTCTACTTTACCAACTTTGACCTGACTAGTGGGGCTGGCTGTGCCCTGACCCCGGACAGCGTGGCCTGATGATCAATATACAAGTGATGGATCGAAAGGCGCAGGAATTCCGATCAACACGTGTTACCTCTATGTGTGTATCGTAAAAAACGATACGCGATGCATGATTTAATTTAACGTCTGGAATCGAAAATGTGTTAGTCTTATAGCGCGCAGTATTTATTATTTTTTTTTTTACAATGCGGAGAATCATTGTGCAGAAAAAGGATTGCATTTTTTTCTGCAAAATCAATTCAATTTGCTGAAGTGAAGCAACCGAAGTATTTATTCCTTTGCTGATTCCTCTACGATAAGTTACTTTGTTCCTAAGATTTTAATGTCAGGAATAGATCAACATTTTTTCTCAATCAATTAGGATGGAATCAAAAAAGAAAGCAATTAGCACACTTGTTTTTACAGTACTTTGCGTTGAGAATTTAAGAATTGCCTTTGATATTTATATGAACTTCCGTAAAAATTCAGCTGCTGACGAGGCAACTGCAAGTTACAAATCTTCACCTATTTCAATTTCTATCAAATTACTGTTTAATCTAATGAGCAACTGCAGGATTCTGAATGATTCGAAACTGCTATTACAGTACAGTATTAAAATCCAGAAGAATGGACCATTTTTATTCGAATGATTTTTTGTGTGTGTGTGAATTATCAGAACTACTTAAGTTCGTATAAGCATTGTTTTCCGAAAGTCGACACGAAGCTGACACACGATCTGGCTGAGTCATCGCGAACTTTTTTGAAAACTATTTTCTTGGTCTCTTGGCACCTCTTGTCATAACCGCTAAGGGCATACGAGTTTCATCGGTTTATTCTCGCTGCAGTTTTATTTTTACACTCGGTTACGATGCGAACAATAAAGAAAGGAATCTGATTGTATGAAAGAAAAAAAAAAGTTGCTTTTATTTTCCACTTCTCTTTTTGCGTCAAGAAAAACAAGGAGCAAGATGAGAGAACAATGTTCCTTCGGCTAAAAGATGAGGAGCTGCTGGCAGGACGTCGAATATGCGAACCGGTCTACTTCTTCTGCCTCGTGAATGCGATATTTCTATTTATTTTTTCTCGACGGGTTCTTCTTTTTTTTTTTTTTGTGTCCTCGACAAGTTTTTGCTGTATTTATTTTTTTTCACTCTCGTCTCTCTTAAGTGTTTTTCTTTCTCCAGATTGTTGTTCGTTCCGGTTTTGATCTCGCGGTTTTTCTTCTACCGCGTCTTTGAAAGTTGTAGAACGTCAGTCGCAGTTTCAGAGCTGACCCGAGACCTTCGTCAAGTCGTCTTATTCAAGTGCCAGGAAGTTGCCTTTTTTTCTTTTGCGTGTCGATGCCTTTTTGGCACTTCGTGGGGAAACGCGGAGAGAAATTTTCTTTTTTCCAGTTTTGTGTCAACAGGATTAAAAAAAAAACAAATTGCGTTTATATGGTGAATTCCGAAAGCGGGGTGTCAATTTGATTGTGGTGATCATATTGTTTGTGAGAGCATACAGTGATTGGATTAATTTATTGCGATATTATAGGTGTGGAATAGACATAATGTATACATTACTTGCAGACACCGCAAGAGTGTAATCCTTTAAAAAAAAAGTAAGCTTGGATTATCCCTGCGTGTATTTCAATTTCACAAGAAGGATTGATTAATTGATCTGTAAGCTTTATTTTCTGCTTTTCAGTCTTCAAAAGGTTCAAGCAATATATATGTTCCTGTATCCAAACACCATAACTTGAGAATGGAAAATGCAGAAATAAGCTGTACATGGATATTGAAAGAAAAGAAAATATGGCAAAAATGTGCAATTGCACAACTGATATAAATGCAAACACTTTCTTCCCTGCTAGCACCCCAATAAAAAAGAAAATATCAAAGACAAAGAATTGCAGCAAACGGCAATTACTGTACTGCAGCCAAATTAGAGCACAAGCTGTTCAGCCTGTTACCAGATAAGTTTTAGTTGATTGAACAATTTGGAGAGAATCTTTGATAAAAAATGGTTATGAAGTTAAAAGCTCGTCTCGGTCCGCTTATGGTTTTGGGAAGAAGGATGATGCTTGAGGGACTATATGAGAACATGTGACAAATACTGAGTATATAATGGCAAAAAGGTGGAAGACACTTCAAAAAGTCAGAATAAGGTGATATGTACAGTATATCTTCTTGCTCTTAATAATTTGAACTAGTTCAAGTTTTATGGAAGGCATTTTGAAAAAATGAACAATTTCAGCTTTTCAATGAAATTTTTCAATCAATTCTCCAATTTCTTTGTGCCGGATGTCGCGTAACTGTTGGAATTAAAAGGCTTGGCAATTGAACGAGCATAATATACAAAGTTGGACCTTGATATAACTCAAAATTCCCTAATTTGAATGTCTGTGTCAATTTTTGACATACCCGTATGAATTACTTAAGAAAGAATGCACAGAAGACCTCCGTAAACCAAAGGCTTTCTTCATCAATCTGCCATAACTCAAATTTCCTGGAGGCCTTTTGACTATATTACTTTATTGACCCCGGGATAAGGAATGCAACAAAAATGCAATTTGATGCGTTTGAAATTAAATGTACGACTATTTGGGCAAATGAAACCTTGCCTATACAAGTTCAACATCCTGTCCACTTATTTGAAAAAAAATTCAATGCCCAGAATACGACAAATCACGATTTCCTGTAATGGTTCTCTTGCCCTCAACAAAAATGCATGTCTTCCAACTGAAATTTTGTTGCTGGCCCTTTGAAGTTTGACTGTAATTTTAATGGGGTAAATGCTCAGAAATCATTTTTATCCCTATCTGATACATCGACTTTCGATTCTTGTTTATACAGTATTTTCGGTTTTAATTACGCAAATTCTACTGCACTATCCTACATTTTACAGAGAAATAAATATTCCAAAATAAAAGTGTGAATCGGCCGAAGTTCCGCGAAATGACTCCTTGATAGTGGCAAATATAGTTGGCTGCATGATTTTCAGCATGCTGGGAAGCACCGCCAACAGAGAATACCGGATTCACGCTGAAATTGAGTGTCACCTGTTGCGTGATTTCTACCATGCCATGGTATGATGTCAAGCGTCAGCTAGATGACGCTCCAAAGCAACGTCGAGCTTCCTCAGTGCGTGAAAAGCCGCGGATCCCGCTGCATCTCATTAAAACAAACAGCGGTAAGCTTTGAGTGATTTATATAGTTTTGTACAGACATTAAATTCGTCTTCCTGCGCAAATTTGACGAATTCTCGATTCCCAATTTTGCACGCAGATGGCCAAAACATTTTGATAGTCGCCGGGGACGAGGCGAAACATGACACCCCGTCGAATTTTCGTCACAAACCGGAGTTCGATTGCAAAAATCGAGGATCAGGAAAAACCCTGGAAAGTAAATTCAGCTTCCAATCATTCGCACATTTCTTTAATTTAATTTATGCATCTGAAAGTAGGACCAATCATTAAGAAAAAATTGCTTTAATTTTTGAGACAATATCATTTTCATTTTTGAGACAAAGTTGTTTTCTGTTCAAGACAAAATTGTTTTCATTTTAAAAATGATTTTTGTTTCATTTTGGAAATAAAGTTGTTTTAATTTTTAAACCCAGCATTTTCATATACCTTACTATAAGCAAACAGAGCAGAATTCCAGAAAAATGAGTCTGATCACGCCAATTTTTTCTGTTCAACGGATTTTTTTTTGTCCGTAAATAGCTGTTTTCCCGACAGAATAGGCGTTCTCTTCAACGAATTTTCTCTACAAGGAAAGTAACGGGACCAGAAAAATCGAGGCAGAGATCATTTTTTTACAGGTCGCCTATTTGATGGGTGAACAGCTTCATGAGACGAAATACAATGCATAGTTTTGCAGATAAAATCTTTGTAGAGTTTACATGTATGCAACCCTATTCTTATTTTTATGCGATTTTATTTTATTTAAAAAAAGTAAAAGTATTCGCCTAAAATTAAAAAAGTCTCCGAAATAACGAGAATACTGTAATTTTGTTTCCGATATGAAATATATAATGCACAAAACACAGTTCACCTACTGCTGTAAATTATGTGCTGCATATAATAAGATAAAGGAAATGAATTTTGCTCGCATAAATGATTTTAAAAAGGCACCTTTTTTGTGTTGTCCTTTTCTTTGTTACTGCTGGTGGATCATTTTTTAAAAATACAAGTTAAAACCTGTTCTTTAGTTTCTCCTTTTTGCTATAGTGCTTTCATCAGTAGTTAAGTCAACGTATGTAATGTAGTTAGTTACCTTCAGGAAGGGTAATTACATGTTTGCTGTGTATATACGTGTGAGTCTTGGCAATATTGCCAAACAAATAAACTGGACTGCACGCGTTATTGACAGGACAGAGGGCGGCCTTGGCTGCCGGTNGCCGCCGCCGCCTGCGTAGGCGCTCTCGTCGTCTCCACCGCGGTGGACGCCACTTCGGCAGTCATGGCGACGTCGTCGTCGTCGCCCGAGCCGCCGGACCCGGCCCGTGGCGGCTCTTCCGACAGCCTGGAAGACGCGTCGTTTGCGTCTGCGTCGTCCACGCTCAGCGGCGACATCTGTGTGACTACGGGCGAGCGAATGTCGAGTCCGAGTGACGCTCTGTGGGCGGACGCCGGAGAGGATCAGATGGCGGCGGAAGCACCAGCACCAGCACAGAGCCCAGCAGCGTCAGCTGCTGGGACACACCAGTTGCGGGTTGTGGATGACGAGAGTCTGTCCAGGCTGCTGAGCATCATCAACAAGGCCAGCAGCTGTCCCGGGGCCGAGGCTGGGGGGACTCATCTTCACCATCATGCGACCCAGTCCTTTTCAGCAGCAAGCAGGCCAAAGATCAACACCAGGTTAGTCCATGAATATATGTGTACTGTATATGCAAAAAGATTTGGGGCTCTTGTAATTGGATGGAAAGACTCTTTCCAAAAGAAAGTGTGTGTATATAAATCAGTTGTGCATCAGTCTTGAATCAGGCTTTTCTGTTAACACATCTTGATGTGATGGAATGAGTTGGGATAGATGAGGGGGGGGGGGGATGAGGGGAGGGGGTTTGGATGTGGGAACATTATTTGAACCTTGTGAATGCTGAAAATAGGTAAAAAAAAAAAGGCTTGTTTATCAACACATATAATCAATCAATACATAAGCAGCCAAGAAGTTGTTATCCAAGTGTGGATAGAAAAAAACAAACGCAGGCTTCAATTGGATAAAATACAATATTATTACACAGTATTTTGATGTACACTTCTAGCACACTCAAATAAGTAAGATGTGTTAGAAGGAGACTTCCAAGAATACGTGAGGATGTTCCACTGAGAATACACACTATGATCGTCTACAAGATTCTGATTATTTTCTGGGTCAGTGCGGCGTAAATGAATTATAGACAAGTATATTTCAAAATAAAACCTTGGAGCTATTTCTTGTATCTTGAAAATAATTCCAAGATTATGCTTTTACTAGCTGGGAATCTAGGGGAACATGATTTAAGGAATTACTTGAGAATTCAAAGCTTAACAAGACAGTTTTAGGGTGTGAAAAATTGTTGAGAATTTTGTAGCTGCGAAGGAAACACAGGAAAATTGATCTCACAATTTTATGGGAAAGTTTCGAGTCTGAGTGACGCAGAAATTTGATATTAAGAAAAATAGTTGAATTTTTGTTTTGCTTTTGGGAGCCAATTTTTCTAGATAGTTTGAGGATATTTAGGATTGCACAGTATTTACAGCAGAGTTTATTAAGAAAGTAAAAAATCTTTTCTAAGCCAATCTGTGGCAAAGTTTGAATATGTTTGCGACATTTCTTGCCCATGAGCAGTGAAAATAAGAAAACCCAATATTTTAGCCGAGGCTTAAGTCAGGAAAAAGTGTCATATTTTTATATGTACCGCCCTCTCAAAATTGAAAAAACCAACGCATTTCATGCTAAAAAAAGTATGTTTGCAGAAAACTAGTTTGGCACAAAGTAACTAGCTATAATGCTTTGAAGTCAACCCACAATTTAGTACCACCATTTTTTCCAGGACATTTTGTGGCACTAAGCAAGAGTGGCAATAAATCCAGGGTAATACAAAAAATGGGAGTTTCAATTTAAGGTGAATAACAGATACAACAGTATGTAGTTCACATCAATATTAGGTCCACAATCAAGTTCTGTAAGAACAGTACGCATAAAACTATTTATAACCTAACTATGCACTGTTCTGATACTTATATTGCATTTTCAAATTGCATAATCATAATGTTGCACCATCTTTTTTTGCAAAAGAACAGTGCTTTTTACCATAAATGTTTTTACTGTGTGTGCATTAAAGGCAATGATTAAAAGAAGAGGTTGTGGTAAAATGCTTTGAATTAATGAATAAGCCATTTCAGGTATGAAAATTCTCTCCACTTTAGAGGAAACCCAAATACTGCCACAAAATTAAATTAATGATTAAGTCACTTGGGCAAATATTGAGCAATATGTAATCAAATCCTTAGAGGTGGTACAAAATGGGGGGCACTGAATCAAGGGTTGACTTTACCATTCGAATTTGTTTGTTTCGCTTCGTAGAAA